ACATCAAAACTGCAGATACTAAAAAAACTCTCATTTTATTTAGACAGGTGATATTTTTGACTCTTCACTATACTCCATTCTGCTGTACAGTTCATTTTCTTGACTATCTTGCTACTTTTCTACCAGTTTTGCCAAGGACACTAACTTACCCCTTAAAACAAACAACCATCAATCAGACTCTCAAAACCATTACTCATCACTTCAACACACTGATTTTTTTTAATTCACTTTCCCACTAAATATCAGCTTGTAGTATAGATAGAATGACAGTATTGACAGCTAAGAACTTGCCTGACAGGTGAATAAAYAAAAATACACACACATCCTTGCACTGGCACAGCAAAATGGCCCGTAAGAATTGCGTAAGCACTGCAGAACACAACGAGGCCCTGGACAGCAGGCTTGCTTCTCCTGTGCTATCTGTGCCAAAGCAGAAGGCTGAATAGAAAGCCTCTGCAAAGCCATGAGGAGAGAAGCAGGGGGAGGAAAGGGAGAGGGGGAGAAGAAAAAAGGAAGTGCCCAAATGTGTGGGAARCACAAGTGAGTAAAAGGAGGACAGAATCATTATATAACCTTCCTCATTTGAATGAAGTTAAACATAACATTTCCCGATGAACTCGCATGGAAGACTGGCACAGTGACATAGCAAGTCAATGGAGTTTATTTCAAAGGCTTTAGAAAGAACACAAAGTTGACACTCAACTTCCCCTGTTTTCCCAGCACTGCTGCTTGTGCATTTCAGAGCTCCAGCTTAGCAAGGGCCTTTGCAAGAGCACATAGGGAAATGCCTATTRGAATAGACACATTTGTACTGCTCCCTTCCCCTTATTTCTTGGGGAATTTAGCAGCTGCAGTTTAGGAGCTTATCTGACCATCTCCCCAAACCCCGAGCAGCTGCACTTATGTCAGAGAAAGTTTTAACTTAAAATATTAAGTTTTAGCTAAATGAATCCTACCAGAAGCCCTATCCCCAAGCAAGGCACAAGCCAGACACACTGAGCATTAAGTGAACCAGCCCCGAGCACCACTCCATGTTCTGTCACCSCAATGTCCATGTTCATGAGAGAGCTGCATTTTCCCCAGGAAATTCTTTCCAGGGCCATTAAATACATCATGTGCTGTGCTGAAGGGGGCATAAGGTCCAGTTGGGGAAGATGTGAAGAAACACAGCCYTGTAAACAGAGCTGCCTTCAGAGGTTACTTATAATTTCAAAAAAAGAGCCACTGCTGATTACCTTCTACTAGTGATGTAAACAGCAGTAACTTCCATATTTTTGTTTTATTTGACTAGACCGCCAAACCCTGGTGGCACAAGGAATAACCCTGTAGCAAGGCTAACCAGTGACCTACAGGAGCATCACCACAGCAAGCAGCATATTTTGACCCAAGAGACACTTAAAGAGTTCAACAAACAAAAAAGAGCATTGAAACGCCAGCAGGTCACACACAGTGCCCCTGGCATCCTGCACTCCATTCCAGTGCTCCCAGTGCTGTCTGCAAACCTAAATAAGTCCAGAGTTGCTCCAGAAGGGCGCAAGGAAGTTACCAGCAGGACCTCCCCGGCCGGGCACACGTGCGGCGCTTTGACACTTGCGGCTCCCAGCCCAAACCCCCCGCCCCATTCCCAACGCCGGCCCCGGCGTTTTCCACCGCTCTCCACCGCCCCTTTGCCCCGCGAGGCCACGTCCAAGCAAACGCACGGCCGCGAGCACGTTTCGAAAGCGGAGCCAAGTTTTCGAAAGCGGAGCCCTGTGGGCCCGG